TTTCTCTCGTCTATAGAAACTCAAGTTCCCAACCAGCCGAGCTCTCTGCACGTGCGTCCGCTGCCCAACAGCATCATCATGAGCTGGACTCCGCCGCTGAACCCCAACATCCTCGTGCGCGGCTACATCATCGGCTACGGAGTGGGCAGCCCATACGCCGAGACCGTGAGAGTGGACAGCAAGCAGCGCTACTACTCCATCGAGAACTTAGGTGAGAATCAGAGACGCTTAACTTCACAAACGCTGCTTTTATATGCCAGTTCTGTCAGGTCATGTGATCAGAGAGTTGTTTGCATTCATTCAATCAGAGAGGCTTTCATTCAGATCATTAATTATAGATCATCGATCACATGATGATGCAATCCGAGCAGCACTCATCAACATATTATTATTTGGAAGCTCTTAAGTGCTTGTTATGAAAAGCGGTGCGAATTCATTTGATGAAATGGCTTCCCATTCATTTATTCATTATGAAGAATAAAATTAGAATGTTTTATTTAAAGGCATCTAATTTGAAAACAAGTGAGGTGTAGATTGAATTTTTCTCATCACGCATGACAAAAGACACAAAATCTCAGATTTTAATATTCATGAGGAGGCGCGGTTAGTTCAACGCTCATGAATACGTAATGAGAGTTTGTTCAAGATCAAACACACGCACTAATGTTTTATTTATTCTATTTTTCTGTGATTACCCAGAAAAACTGATGTCAAGAGGAGTTTATGACTCCCTCGATAGCTTCATTAAAGCTTGTTTGTTTCATCAGCCGTTTGCCGAGAGCGTCTCGTGGTGCCTGCACTCATCTTTTGTTCTCCAAACGCTCATCTGGCCTCCTCTTACCTCCATTCTGGACAAAAATAAGGCCACGTCCTTATCAATATTTCACATGGAATCCACAGGTTACCATGGCAGCGATATTGAACTGAGAGCGGCTGCCCAGAAGGAAAAGAGAATCGAATGGAAAGAGGAAAAGAGCATCTTCTGTTTCTTTGTTCAGGGTTTCATACGGATACAAACAGAGTCATAAATTAATCTTTCAAAGCCTCGATCAATTACAGCCTCGAATTAAAACAGTCCCATCCTGCGGCGGCGCTGCTGAAAGCAGACGAGTGCCTCTCATGTACAGATGCTGCTGTTATTATCGTCAATAATAACTTTATTTGAATTTCCTCATCTGATGTCTTGCTTTGTTTGGTGTTATTCTTGTCTTCTGCACTTCTGCTGCATTTCTTTTTCCACGAATCACTGAATTGTAAAATGTTCAAGAGCAGGACACCTTTATTTAAATTGCGTTTTATACAATACAGATATATCATAAAATCAGCTTCACAGTAATAAACAAGAAAATAAAAGTATTAATGTTGCAAAATTAATCAATTATGAAACAAACTCAAGCTGTTACAAGACAGTAGTGTCACTATTCGGCTCAATTCAGTTCAATAACAGTGCCAATGTTGCAAAATGTATTAATTATATGAAATTATAATTAGGGCTGTGAAGCGATTAATTACATGATGTGTCGATTAATTAATCTAATTAATTGCAAATTAATTGCACATCAATTTTGACTGAGAAATTACCCCCCAGAAGATCATTTAAAGCCATTATTGTGTTAGACGAGAAAAGCATTGGATAGACATTACAAAAAAAGTAGTTTTGGAAAGAAATATTTTGATTCAACATTTGATAAATAATGATAATAAAGGAGTATCAATGGTATTAAAAAATTAATCTTGAAATATGAAATTATTTTTAAAAAGGTGGTGGCAAGTCAGTTTTAATGATTGAGTCATTGAATCATTCATTCAACTGATTTGTTCAAACAGCCGATTCATTCATAAAAAAGCAAGTGATTCCTTATGAATGAGTCACTGAATCATTGACTCACTCAATTTGTTCAAATGGCCGATTCATTCAGAAACAATTCAAGTGACTCTTTGTGAATGAGTCACTGAATCATTGACTCACTCGATTTGTTCAAATAGCCGATTCATTCAGAAACAATTCAAGTGACTCTTTGTGAATGAGTCACTGAATCATTGACTCACTCGATTTGTTCAAATAGCCGATTCATTCAGAAACAATTCAAGTGACTCTTTGTGAATGAGTCACTGAATCATTGACTCACTCGATTTGTTCAAAACTGTGGATTCATTCAGTAGCGAATCACCGCTGTGTGTTGACTTTGATCGGAACGGTTTTCATTTGCAAAATTGAGCAAAAACTGACAATACTGTGTCTAAAATGTAACACAATATTAACTTCTTGTTTACTGAACTATTAAATCAAAATCACATTAGTAATGGTGCAGATATTGGGGAAAAGCAGCACTCTTGCTGGTGTGATATTGCTAAACTATACCATATGATATAAATATAAGAGGGTGATTTATTTTTTTTGCTCATATCTTGAATTCTAGGCTCATTGAACTGCATTCTAATCGACTTCAATGTAAGATGACGGACAGATCTAGACGGGGTGCAACGTTAATGCATTAATCACTTTAACACAGTATTTTTTCCGTAATTAATCACACCAAATTAATAATAATAGATGAATGTCCACACTCGCCTCTATATAATGAACCGGTGTGTGGAGTGCTGTAGCTTTAAGACCTTTAACGCGTGTGAGACGGAGCATGTTAATAACTGCTGTAAACGGCCTCATCTCCAGCTTATCAGAACAGAATCAAGTCAGGTTTTTGTGTTTGTGTGTGTTTGCAGAGCCCAGCTCTCATTACGTCATCTCTCTGAAGGCCTTCAATAACGCGGGTGAAGGAGTTCCTCTGTACGAGAGCGCCGTCACCAGATCCATGTCAGGTGGGTCGCCGGAGCATCTCTCGCCTGTTTAGATCATTTCTGAGCTTTCAAATTATGAAATGAACATATGGAATATTACAAGACGGAAACTGAATCAGTGTGGTTGGTGACACATGAATCATTGAATCGTGAGACTGAGTTTTAAATGCAACTGAACAGTTCGAACTGATTCAGTGATTCAAATGAATGGCAGCTGTACATTTGAATCACTTCAGACTCTCTAGAGAGTTACAGACTCACCAGCCGTGAGACGCTGCTTCATTTTCTATCGTGCACAGAGACAGTCTCTGTTTTTAAAGCTTGTTGACGTGGAGAAACACAGTGTCTTTCATCATCATTGTGTTTCTGGTCTGAAAGCATCTGCAGCTACAGCCTTAACAGAAACCAAACTAAATCAAACATTTCTCTCGACTTTGACCATTATGGCTATTTTTCTGCACTGCATTCTGGGATTGTCTTCTCTGCAAGAATCAGGGTTATTAACATTAACTAAAACTAAAACTAAAACTATATATATATATACATATATACACACACACATATATATACATATATAAAGCCTTTTTCCTTACTTTAAATAAATATAAAGTGAAATATTATATATTATTTTATAATATATAATATAAATATTATAATAACTTGATGTACTAAAATAAGTTAAAACTGAAATAAAAATGAATGAAAACTAGAGACATTTTAATAAAAAAATCAAAAACTAATAAAAATGAGATAAACACACAACAACATTACTAAAACTTTAAGTAAAATTAAAATAAAAACAGAATATATAAAAATAAAAAGTAATTCAAAATATAAAAAACTAGAAATAAAAATAAAATAAAATGAATAGAAACTAAATAGATATTTAAATTTTTGAAAAATTTTCAAAAACTACTGGAAATGCCAAAAACACTAAAATTAAAATGAGCATAAACTAAAATTAAAATAACAACAGAATATATAAAAATAAAAACTAATTCAAAAAATAAAAAGCTATAAATAGAACAAAAATAAAATAAAATAAAAATGATTAGAAACTATATAGGTTTTTTTTTTTTTATTCAAAAACTACTGGAAATGCCAAAAACACAAAAATTAAAATTAAAATTAACTAAAATTCAAATGAAAACAGAAAACTGATTCAAAATATCAATAATTAATTAATTAATTTTAATTATTTATTTATTTTTAATTATTTCATTTAGTAATTAATTCATTTGTTTATTAATGTATTTGTTCATTTAAATTTCATGTAGCTAAATCCACATAAATACATGAATTCATTTCAATTTTTATGACCTATATCTGCAGGTTACCACTTTTCACAGCGTAGTTCTTCTGACTTTCACCTTGACCTGTTTGTGTCACTATCTAGAGCTCAATGTTCTTCTTTGTGTCTCTTTTTTCCTCTGTCACTCCATTTTCCACTCTTTTATTCCTGGTCCGTCCTGTGCGCTCTCATCTGTGATCACGTATGATTTGCTGCATGAACATGACTCCACACAGACCCCTCGGACCCGTCGGATGATGATCTGTTCCATCTGTTTGATAAATTCCCTACCCCTATCCCAGATACGTCCACGCCCATGATTCCTCCTGTAGGTGTGCAGGCCGTGGCGCTCATGTCCGACTCGGTGCGCGTTAGCTGGGCCGATAACTCCATTCCCAAGAACCAGAAGTCCTCGGAGGTGCGTTACTACTCCGTCAAGTGGAAGACCAGCCACTCCACCAGCGGCAAATACAAGGTCAATACCAGCGCTTTTCCCTCAAATAACACATGGATACCATGGTAAACCAATATGGGATTTAGTCCGTACCATTGTATTTACCCTGTGAATCAGATCAGGCTTCAAAGCGCTTATTTGTGTGAATGTGCTCGACGCTCGTCATACAGATGCAAGAAGTGTTATTTTAGTATCATTGATATACTGGTGTAGTTTTTCTTAATATTTTGAATTCAGTTTTATTTTTTTCATATTTTCTGATTTCATTATAATTTTAGTTAAAGTGTTCTGTAATTTTTATTAGATTTTTTATTTTTTTTGTCTTTATAATTTTTGTACTATTAAAGTTTTGTTAACACATTTTAATTTTATATTTTCGGTTTTCATTTTAATTTTAGATTTACTCATTTTCTTTGTAATTTTTATTAGTTTGGGTTTTCTTAATATCTCTATATAGTTATTTTAGTGTAATTGATATACAGTTATAGTTTTGCTAATATTTTGAATTAGATTTAATTTATATTTTCTGTTTGTATCTTAATTTTAGTCATTTTGTTGTGTGTTTTTGTCATTTTTATTCATTTTTTCTTTGTTGTGTTTTTTATATAAAGCACACTCTAAACAAAAATAAGAAATGTTGAAACTAAAATAAAATAAATTTAAGTTGTTATATTTTATTTCAGTTAATGTTTATTGTATTTCAAGTAATGATTTTTTTTTTTAGTTTATGATAACCCTGGCATGACTGAATTATTAATAGTTTTTGTTAATATATTGAAATAAATTTTATTTTTATGTTTTCTCGTTTCATTTTAAGTTTAGTTAAATTTATAGTAATTTGGTTGCGTGTTTTTTGTCATTTTTATAAGTTTTTTTATTTTTTTAAGTAAATAGTTTTTATTAAATTTATGTAGTTTTAGTTGTTTTAGTACTTCAACTAAATGAAAATGAGAAACGTTGTATCAGAAATGTTATGTCAGGTAATGTTTATTTTTATCTTTTAAATATTAAATATGTTGAATATTTTATTTTTGTCATTTTTATTAGTTTTTTTTAAGTAAATAGTTTTTATTAAATTTATGTAGTTTTAGTTGTTTTAGTACTTCAACTAAATGAAAATGAGAAACGTTGTATCAGAAATGTTATGTCGGGTAATGTTTATTTTTATCTTTTTTTTAAATATTAAATATGTTGAATATTTTATTTCAATTGTTCATGGGTTTAGTTTAAGTTAAGGACAACAGCTCGGGTGCAACTGAAGTCATTTGAAAATGTGAAGTTGTAAAGAATCATCTTGTTCTTGAGTCGACCAGCCTGACGTTTATATAGTAGTTCATGTTTCTCTGTTCTGATGAGTCTGTTGAAGAGCTGTGAAATCTGGAGAGTGATAAATAACTGTGAATGTAAAGTAATCACCGTGCTGTGATCATTGAGAGTTTGTGTGCTCGAGTTCTTTACTCCTCATGACGTGTGATTGTGTTTCAGTCGGCTGATACTACAGCTCTCAGTCACACCGTCACGGGTCTGAAGCCCAACACCATGTACGAGTTCTCCGTCATGGTGACTAAAGGACGCAAGTCCAGCACGTGGAGTATGACGGCACACGCCACCACATACGAAGCAGGTACAAACACACACAGCCGTTCTGTCCTTCTTGTGTTATAAAACACTGTTTATACTGCGCTATATAGCAGATACGTCCACCTGATGATCTGATCTGAGTCCATCAAGATCCAAAGAAAAAGAGAAAATAGTCAAATGCAATCAATGCTTTCATTTGTAAAGTGTTTTTCATTGAAATGTCAATAACTATTATGGTATGTATAGATACAGTAGTCCAGAGTTTCCCAAACTGGGGTTGGGGAAATGCTAATAATGATGAACTAAATCATAAATATGTGAAAGTGACGTGTGGCCAAGTGTGGTGTCCCATACTCGGAATGTGTGCTCTGCATTTCACCCATCCAAGTGCACACACATACACATGTTGCAATTGGTGGTTTACGGGGACTCTCCATAGACCTAATCGTTTTTATACTGTACAAACTGTATTTTCTATCGCCCTACACCTAAACCTACCCCTTACAGGAAACTTTCTGCATTTTTAGATTTTCAAAAAAACACCATTTAGTATGTTGTTTAAGCCTTTTGAATTACAGGGACACAGGAAGTGTAATACTCAGTTCGGGAATATAATGACTTAGTTTGGGAATTTCTCAGTTTGGGAATATAATTACTCATTTCGGGAATATAATTACTCAGTTTGGGAACATAATTACTCGGTTTGGGAATGTAATTACTCAGTTTGGAAATATAATTACTCAGTTTGGGAACATAATTACTCATTTTGGGAACATAATTACTCATTTTGGGAACATAATTACTCAGTTTGGGAATATAATTACTCATTTTGGGAATATAATTACTCAATTTGGGAGTATAATTACTCAGTTTGAGTATAATTACTCCATTTGGGAGTATAATTACTCAGTTCGGGAATATAATTGCTCAGTTTGAGTATAATTACTCAGTTTGGGAATATAATTACTCATTTCGGGAACATGATTGCTCCGTTTGGGAGAATAATTTCTCTGTTTGAGCATGTAATTACTCAGTTTGAGAGTATAATTACTCCATTTGGGAGTATAATTACTCAGTTTGGGAATATAATTACTCAGTTTGGGAATTGCTCAGTTTGGGAATATAATTACTCAGTTTGGGAATATAATTACTCAGTTTAGTAATATAATTACTCTGTTTGAGTATAATTACTCCGTTTGGGAGTATAATTACTCAGTTTGGGAATGTAATTACTCAGTTTGGAAATATAATTACTCAGTTCGGGAATGTATTTACACAGGTTGGGAATATAATTACTCAGTTTGGGATATAATTACTCAGTTTGGGAATATAAGTACTCGTTTTGGGAATATAATTACTCAGTTTGGGAATATAATTACTCAGTTTGGGAATATAATTACTCATTTTGGGAATATAATTACTCATTTTGGGAATATAATTACTCAGTTTGGGAATATAATAACTTGATAAAATGCCTTATCCTATGGTTTATGACGGCTCTCATCCACCTTCCTGTACATGTAGAAAAACAGTGTGTATAAAAGCGTCTTTAGTCCAGAAATAGATGCTTTTATCACTGTCTAAACTAACTGTAGTGAAGACATGAAACCTCACGATCATGGGAGGTCTCGGGGTTAATGAAGCTGTTTAATTAGTTTCTGTGTAGTGCTGGAATTAAAGAACTGCTTGTCATCTCTGAGAGATGGATAATAAAGTCACAGGTATCAAATGTGAAGTCTCATATCCGACATGAGCAGAATGCAGCATAAATGCTCTCTCTCTTCCCATTGGTCAGCGCCGAGCTCCGCCCCTAAGGACCTGACTGTGATTGGCCGAGAGGGACGTCCACGAGCCATTCTGATTAGCTGGCAGCCGCCGCTGGAGGCCAATGGACGAATCACAGGTGACGCTCAAACACACATGACACGACAGCATCATAATTCAGCTTGAGATGGTTTTGTTTGTCCATCCAAATAATAATAATCAATGAAACTGTGATCAAGACACAAATTATCCCATGCGGCAAAAATATAGATTTTTTTTTTCTGTCCAAAATATTTACTAAATATGTGTTGTAAACAGTGAAGCTCTATGAAATATATTTTAAAAATGAAAAATATATTTAGTTTTAACCTTCATATACCAAAATATATTTCTAAATGTATTTCATGGGCAAGAAAATACATTTACAATCATTAGCCTACATTTAGGATAATGTTTTAATGCATTATACTTTCTAAAGGTGCAACAATGTGTTATAATGTACTGTAACTGTGTTTACAATTATTCATGAGATCATTATAAGTAAAATACATACTTTAATAATGCACTATATATAAAGGCTCCAAGGAAAGTGTTTCCCAGTGTTGTTATTCTTAACTAAAATGACAACTATATTAAAAAATATAAAATATTGTTTGTTAATTGAAGCAAAGCTAAAATAAAAGATAAATATTAAATGAAAAACTTAAACATAATTACATATAAAAGAATTAAGATATAGGTTGTTGTAAAAATTAATATGAAGTATTATAACGATGGATATTCATAAGATCATTATAAGGTGCATTACACACATAATTAATGCATTAAAAATACTTTTATAATGCATTATGTATAAAGGCTTCAAGTAAAGTGTTACCTAAGGTTTTTCTTCAAATGTGACATAGGGGAATGTATTTTCTTGGATTAAAATATATGGACGGCAACATATACTTTTACATGCTTTTAATATATTTTAAAATATTAATATATAATAATAATATTTATTTAAATAAACATATATTTGTTTTTTTATTTTATAAAATATATATATTTTTTTTTTTCTTTAAAAAAATTGTATTTTTTATGTAATATATATTTCTGATTTTGATGAATAATTTTGTCAGTGTGTCAGCTGAGTTTGTTTACAATTTTATTATATATATATTTTTTATTTTTTCAGATAATGAAAATGTTTTTTAAACGTTATTATTGTATATTATGTTAAAGTATTTTGTATCAGTTTCTGATTTTTTTGCCATATGGGATATAAAAAGTCATGATACTGTGAGGGTCAGAAAATCATAACAGACTCTTAATTTAAGTGATTAAAACACACTCATTGTCACACACGGACGTTTCATGTGTCTCAGCACAAATGTGATGCTTCTCTTGACCTTCATCTCTGTGTGTGTGTGTGTGTGTGTGTGTGTGGAGTCCCTGCAGAGATACTGTATTGTTACAGAATTTGATAAGAAGCAGGAAAAATTGAACCTAATTCTCTCTCACACACACAAACTCTCTCACACAAACACACACAAACAAACTCTCTCTCACACACACACACAGACACACACACACACACACACACACACACAAACTCTCTCTCACACAAACACACACACACACACACACTCCCATTAAGAGGCTGTTGAGGGTTCGTCTGGCATTTGAAAGCTCTCGTGTGTCTTTAACTCGCCCTCGTTTTCCTCCCGTCACACTCACATTCTCACTCACCAGAGGCTCGACCTTTGACCTCTGAGTCAGCGCCGCACTAACCCGTTTAACCCTGCTCGTCTGCGTCAGGTTATATCCTGTACTACACGCTGGACAAGAACATGCCCATCGACGACTGGGTGATGGAGCCCATCGGCGGAGACCGGCTCACGCACCAGGTCATGGACCTCAACCTGGACACCGTCTACTTCTTCCGCATCCAGGCCAAGAACGCCAAAGGAGTGGGTCCGCTGTCGGAGCCTGTGCAGTACAGGACGGCCAAAGGTGAGCGGCTGCGTCTCAAATCATCACCTGTGCTCCATTAACACACTCTAAACACTCACATTTCACTTTGATTCTCAGTCTGATTCTCTAATAAGCATCAAAATATTCAGCAGCATACAGGAAGAGAAGCCATTTCTAATTATGCTTATCGAATTAATTTATAGTCAAGATTTTTCTAGCATCATCCTACATCTTTTCAGTGATCTTATTACAGTGCATATGTAAACAATTTTTAAATAAATTTGACACTTATTTATGCAATATTTAATCACCACGGTAGGCAGGGTTAGGTATTATTATTATAAATAAAATAAAATATAAATATCAGATGAAAAACCTAAACTAAAACAATTAAAATAAAATAGGCTGCAGTGCTAAAATTGTAACTGTAAATTAATAAAAACTAAAACTGAAATAAAAATATATTAAACCTAAATAATAATATTTTAAAAGAACAAAAACTAATAAAGAAATGACTAAAGCACAAAAAAATTATAAACTAAATTTAAAATGAAAACAGAACATATAAAAAACGTCTCAGGTTACTTATGTAACCATGGTTCCCTGAGTAGGGAACGAGACACTGCGTCCTCTAGGGGTCACTATAGGGAACGCCTCGTCGTGACCCGTGTCTGAAGCATACATTGAAAAAACACCAACTCGTTGGCTGGCGACAGCCATGACGTCACTACCGGTGCGACTATAGTATAAATAAGCGCCGGGAGCTACACATCATTCACTTCTTCGTCTGAAGCTTGCGTCCGCAGCATGGCAAGAAACCTAGAGGACGCAGTGTCTCGTTCCCTACTCAGGGAACCATGGTTACATAAATAACCTGAGACGTTCCCTTTCATGGGAACTTCGAACTGCGTCCTCTAGGAGTTGCTATGGGGAACGGTATACCCACGCCACCATACTGAGGGGAGTGCAAGCCAGAACCATGGCGAGCACTAAGTACCAACTCTACCATATTGCTATGGGAGTCGCCCCTGGGACGTTAGACGGCTGTCAGTGACGTTATTCCCTACGGCCAAAGGCCTAGGCTACATACCCCAAAAAACTTACCTGTTAGGGCCAGAACTCCTGGGCCCGGGGTAGAGCTCAAGGCTTGGAATCAGAACGGTCAGTGAAGACGAAGAAGAGAATGATGTGTAGCTCCCGGCGCCTATTTATACTATAGTCGCACCGGTAGTGACGTCATGGCTGTCGCCGGCCAACGAGTTGGTGATTTTTCAATGTATGCTTCAGACACGGGTCACGACGAGGCGTTCCCCATAGCGACCCCTAGAGGACGCTGTTCGAAGTTCCCATTAAAGGGAACTTCAAATTAAAAATAAAATATAAATGTTAGATGAAAAACTTCAACTATAAGAACATTAGAATTTAAAATTTTAAATCGAATCACTAAAATTATAACTGGAAATTGATCAAAACTAAATCTAAAATTAAAACTGAAATAAAAATTAATTTGTAAATAGAACAAAAACGAATGAAAACGACAAAAGCACATTGCGAAAAAATAAACTAAAATTAAACTGAAATGTGAAAATATAAAAAAAATAAAAGCTTATTGAAAAAAAAACTACTGGAAATAAATGTAATTTAAAACTAAAATTAAAACTGTAATAAAAACAAATAGTAATCATTAAAAAGAACAAAAACTATCGTTAAAATCACAAAAGCACAAAGCGAAATTACAAAAAATGTAACTAAAATTAAACTGAAATGTGAAAATATAAAAAATAAAAGCTCATTCAAAATAGTAATAAAAACACTTTAAAATAGGAAGACAAAGGAAAATATCAAGCAGCATAACACTCGTGGATGTGCGCAGAAGGGGAAAACACACGCATGAAACAGAATAAAATAACACAGACATGAAACAAAGCAAGATTGATTACAATAGTCAGTCAAAAGAAACATAACAGTAAGCATAAGCACAGATATGCATAACATACATGACACACAGATGCATGAACCTGAAACAGATCAGAGAAGCATGAGGTGAGCAGAGATGCTTAAAAGTGGACTTTGAGATCTTGTAATGATAGAATAGGAGTTATATGAATTCGTGTGGACCCTGGCAGCTGAGTTCTGAATATATTATAGCTTATTCAGTGCTGTAGTGGGTAAGCAAAGAAAAGGGAATTACAGTAATCTAACCAGGAAGCAATGAAAGCATGGACCAGAGTCTCAGCATCACAGATTTTTAAGAATGGACATAAACGGGGAACACTACAGAGGTGAAAAACGGCAGATTCAGTGAGTGAGGAGATTTGAGACAGTATAATATTTTAAACAGTGGTAGAAGGACGAACTAAGCAACCAGCAATAATAAAATTGTCAATAGAGAAACGAGATGTAGGACATTTGTTTTTTCAGTATTCAGTTTGAGGACATTTTGGGTCATCCAAGTATTTATTTCATCAATGCAAGCCCAAATGGAGCTGCTTGCTTTATTAATTCACTGAAACTATTTGAAAAGCAATTATTTATCCCTTATTAAGGCAGTCGGTAGATTTAGTCCAGGGCTTCTGTTTGACACGTCTGTTATTCAGCCAGATATCATCAGTTAACGGAGCTGATCACTGATATTGTGTCTTTGATTGGGTGAAATCTTCATGGCAGCATGTGGCCGTGTTTAATTAAGTTTGATGAATCATCTGATAAACATGAAATGCTGGAGTCATTTTATTGCTCTGTAACCTTCGGGACGTTCATTTCATTGTGTTAGGCGGTTGAGTTTTATCAGTCAATCATCACTAGTACTTCAGATGCACCATTTTCAAATAAAAATCCCACAGATGCACACTGAAGCGGTCCACCCATGCGGCAAAAAAAAAAAAAAAATATATATATATATATCAAAATATACAGAAAATGTCCTAAAAATGCATTTGCTAAAATATGTTTCAAAATATTATTTTTTTTGACATTTTTAAATCATATTTAAAAACTTTAAATGTATTTTTTGAAATCGTTTAAAAATATATTTTGCCCTCCGTTTATTTTAATCCAATAAAATACATTCACATGTGTCACATTTGAAGAAAAACTCAAATTCAGCATGGAACATGCTGTAAAAATGGCTGTATGGGCATATAGAACATATAGCACCTGCAAAGCAACACCCTGGCAACCACCTAGAGCACCCTAGTGATTTGCACTGCGCATGTATAAATGTAGTTTCTAGTGATGCTGATCATAATCTGCCGTATTTGTGTAGATTCACTGTACTCTCACTGCGTCTGCGTGAGGCGTTAGGATGCACTATAAGGAGTTATGATTGTTAATGTTGAGCGTTCACAGATGAAGATGAAGGGAATTACACAGCGGCAGAAACACACTGACAGACTTTCTCTCTCTCTCTCTCTCTCTCTCTCTCTCTTTCTTTCTTTCTTATAGTTGAGCATCCTGACAAGATGGCCAATGATCAAGGTAAGCAGATGTGTGTGTGTGTGTGTGTGTAAGTGTGTGTGTGTGTGTGTGTGTGTGTGTGTGTGTGTGTGTGTGTGTGTAAGTGTAAGTGTAAGTGTGTTAAAGTCACAAAGAGCACAAATAATTGCTTTCTCACCGAACTCCCAGCTCTAATCTCCATCTCTCGTCCTCCCCTTTACAAACGGTCTTCAGAGCGTCTCAGCGCTCGTCCGCTGCTGATAATTCTCCGTCTGAATGGACTGAATTGTAATGGGTTTGTTAAGAGTCTTTGAGTGGGGTGTTGTGTTAGGAATAGTGCGGTGATAACGGCGGTGAGGAGAGACGCGTGTCGCTGTCAGCACCATCTTTAAGGAGAGCTCCTTCCTTTGATTCCTGTCGTTAATTAAGACGCGCCGCGGCAGGAACGAACTCCTCACATGCTTTTAATTGACATCCAGAGAGAAACGTTCAGAAAAAGATAGAAATGTGTCACCAAACACAATATATGTGAATAAACACAGTATTTTACTTGACTATTAGCCTAACCGTTTCACACAACACAGATTTTCTGAAAAAAATAAAACATTTCATAGGGCTCCATTATTGTAATTTTTTTTATAAATTATTAAATTGTTAAAGTGTTATGAATTCAATTAATTTCACATTCTTTTTTTTTATTATTAAAATGTAGTTAAACCATTAAAACATGATCCAGAAAAATCCAAATAAACTAAAAGCACTGAATTTGGGAAAAATAAAATGTAATTTTAGGGGGGAAAAACAGATTTCATAGGGCTCTAAAAATGATTTTTTTAAATTACTTGTTTCATGATTTCAATTAATTAGACATGCTTTATGATCATACTAAAACAGAATGAAAAATTAAAACAGAAAACAGAATTTGGGGAAAATAAAAGATTGCATAGGGCTCTAAATAATTTTTTTTGGTAAACTTAAATTATTTGTTTCATGATTTTAATTCATTAGAAATAAAAAAAACGAAAACAGAAAAAAATGAATTTGGAAAAAATAAAATGGAATTTGAGGGGGAAAAATAAATATAACAGATTTCATAGTGCTCTAAAAAATATTGTTTTTCTTGTAATCAATTGTTAAATTCTTTCATGATTTCAGTTTAAATGTACTTTCTGATCAAATTAAAACAGAAAACAGAATTTGTGAAAACAATGGAATTAGAGAAAAAAGCGATTTCATAGGTGTCACAGATCAGCCGGAGACAACAGGTTAGTGATTGAAATAACAGGTTTATTGACAGGAATGGAATTGGCAGATTGACTGAAGCAAAGGCGGGTGAGTATCCAACACAAATAATAGTTCTTATGGTTCTTAGCTGAGTACTGGAGATGGGTTTCTTTGCAGGTAGGCAGAGGGTACGGGATCCAGGAGCGAAGGAGATCAACGTAGGAGGAAGCTTGGGAATCTAAGGGCAAGTAGAGATAGGTAAGTAGCATATAGCGAGTCTGGTAAAGTTCAGGGTAGTGAACGGTAGACTGGACGGTGAGTGACTGGAAGGAGCGTGTTTTTGAATAGTGACTTGATTGCAGATGACAGGTGCGGTGAATCAGAACTCAGGTGAACGTGATCTGGTGTAAGTTGTGGCTGGTGATTGTGGTGACTCGCTGACATTACCCCCTCCTCCAGGGGCGGCTCCTGACGCCCTCACGCGGCGACGGGGGCGACCACGGCCTCTGGGTGCGGGACGATTAGGATGGGTCCGATGGAACTCCTCTAGCAATGTGGGGTCAAGAACGTTGTCCCGGGCCACCCAGGATCTTTCCTCTGGTCCATATCCTTCCCAATCTACCAGGTATTCACAACAAATGGCCAAGCAAGCGCATGACATTTACATAAATAAACATATAGAAGTAGAAGTAAACAACTAAAAAAATATATTAAATTTTGAATTTTCATAGGTTCTATGACCCCTTCATACATAGGTGTAAACTGCACGTGATACTGGGACGGTCCGATGGAACTCCTCTAGTAGTATGGGGTCAAGAACGTCGTCCCGGGCCACCCAGGATCTTTTCTCTTGTCCATATCCTTCCCAATCTACTAGGTAGCCGCCGCAAATCCAGGACTTCCTTGACCTGATAGACGGATGGCTGTTCGAAGATGTCTGGAGGAGGAGGCTCGGCCGGTTCTGTGAGTTCTGGTGCAGAAGGAGAGAAGGGTTTTAGGAGGGATACATGAAAGGTGGGGTGAATTCTGTACCTGGGTGGAAGTTGGAGCTGGAAGGTGATCTTATTTATCAGCCTCTGTATTGGGAACGGACCAATGTAGCGGAGACTCATATTCTTGCAAGGCAGGCGGAGGCGCAGATCCCGGGTTGATAGCCATACTTGCTGTCCAGGCTGGTAAGTGGGAGTCGAGGAACGCCGGGTGTCAGCGAAGGTTTTATGCCTCCGCACTGCACGTTGTAGGTGGACATGAGCTGAGTCCCACACTCTCTCGCTCGCTCGGAATCAGTAGTCTACAGCAGGGACTTCCGATGGTTCTTCGGTCCACGGGAAGAGTGGGGGTTGGTAACCAAATATGCACTGGAAAGGTGTGAGTCCGGTGGAGTTTTGTCGGAGGGAGTTTTGTGCATACTCGGCCCATGGGAGGAAGCAGGCCCAGCTGTGCTGGTCATCTTGGCAGTATGCCCGGATGTAACGCCCGAGTTCCTGGATCTTGCGCTCAGTCTGGCCGTTAGTCTGGGGATGATAACCGGAGGACAAGCTCACTGTGATCCCTAGCAGTTGGAAGAACGCTTTCCAAACGTGGGAGATGAATTGCGGACCCCGGTCTGAGACGATATCCTCTAGGACTCCTGAAGACATGTGTGAAGAGCGACTCGGCAGTTTCTAGCGCCGTGGGTAACCCCTTGAGGGAAATTAGTCTGCAGGCTTTCGAAAAGCGATCTACTGCCACTAGAACGCAGGTGTTGCCTTAAGTCAGTAACGAAATCGATCCCAATGTGAGACCAGGGCCGCTGAGGTATGGGCAGTGGCATGAGCATGCCTACGGGAGATGATGAGGAGATTTTGACATGGCACAGACTGAGCACCCTCGGACGCACCTGATGACATCACGGGACATACTGGGCCACCAGTACCGAGCTTGGAGGAGCGAGAGGGTCTGTTGGCTGCCTGGATGTCCAGAGGCCGGTACATTGTAAACTAAGCCCAGAAGGGGTGGTCTTTGAGAGGTGGGAACATACGTCTTACTTTCTGGGCCTCCCAGCGGAGCTGGTTCGGTGAGAGTGGCGGCTTGAATGTCCTTGTCGATATTCCATACAATGGGACTTACAATTAGGGCTGGAGGGAGAATTGGCTCAGGTTCTGAGGGTGCAACTGGTGAGTGCATTCGTGACAATGCGTCCGCCTTACAGTTACGGTTGCCAGGCCAGTAGGTGATATTGAAGTGAAACCTGGTGAAGAACAGCGCCCAGCGGGCTTGACGGGAATTGAGTCTTTTTGCATCTCGGAGATATTGAAGGTTCTTGTGGTCCGTAACAACAGTGGAGGGATGATTGGCTCCCTCCAGCCAGTGCCGCCACTCTTCCAGGGCCAGTTTTATAGCGAGGAGCTCTCTGTTACCAATATCATAGTTTTGCTCCGCTGGGGTCCTTTTCTTGGAGTATTATGCGCAAGGCTGGAGGCGTGGAGGCCCTCCATACAGTTGAGACAGCATGGCCCCAACCCCGATGAAGGACGCATCCACTTCCACCACAAATGGGACCAGAGGATCGGGATGACGAAGGATAGGGGCCGTGCTGAAGGAGGTCTTGAGTTGTTCGAAGGCTTCGTGGGCGCTGGTGTTCCAGGACAGGGACTTGGGCTTACCTCGGAGCAAAGAGGTTAAAGGAGCTGAGTGCAGACTAAAATCCTTAATGAAGCGATGATAGAAGTTCGCGAATCCTAGGAAGCTCTGGAGCTCCTTCACCGACTGGGGACGATTCCACTCCGTGATTGCCTTTACCTTGCCCAGGTCCATTTGAATTCCCTCTTGGCCAATAACGTACCCAAGGAACTGCACAGTGGGGCCATGGAACTCGCACTTCTCCAGCTTCAGGTAGAGGTGGTGTTGGCGAAGCTTCCTGAGGACATGCTTCACGTGACGGCGATGGTTGGCCAGGTTCCGGGAGTAGATGAGTATATCATCGATGTAGACGATTACAAAGTCATTGAGGAACTCCCGGAACATCTCGTTCATAAACCCCTGGAAGACGGACGGGGCGTTGGAAAGGTCATACGGCATAACGAGGTATTCGTAGTGGCCAACTAGGGTAATGAAGGCCGTCTTCCATTCATCACCTTCCCGGATTCTCTCCAGCTTGGAGAAGATGCGTGCCCTACAGAGTTCCTCGAGAGTGGCAGGGACCAGGGGAAGTGGATAAGGATGCTTCACAGTCTGGGAGTTTAGCACACGGTAATCAATACATGGCCTCAAGCCCCCGTCCTTTTTTCCCACGAAGAAGAAACTGGAAGCGGCCGGTGATGTGGAGGGACGAATGAAACCTTGAGAAACAGCCTCCTGTATGTATTCCTCCATAGCCTTGCGCTCCGGGATGGACAGGGGGTACACTCGACCCTTGGGGAGTTTAGCTCCAGGCAGCAAGTCGATAGCGCAGTCCCATGGCCGATGATGCGGTAGGTGAGTGGCAGCCTGCTTACTGAAGACATCCTGGAACGCCACATAATCAGATGGGACGGTGGGTGTTTCCAACGGCTCCGGACTCTCGATGAGAGTGGAG